GTCCTTGCACAAAAGAGCGTAATACACATGCTTTTAAGCACGGGAAAATTCTTTGTGTTTGGCATACTTTGGCGCACTTTAGCGCAGCATGGATTTGTGCGTTTAACCAAGCGAATTTCCATAACACCAGTCCCTCAAAGCCTGTTCTCTAAGGCGCTCTGCCTGCCAGTCACAGCTCTGATGTCATCAACTAAAAAGTCCTGCATTGTAAGTGAGGATGTTAAGGGCCCACCCCCAGCTGTAGCAAGAGAGATAAACAGGTGGGGATCGGCTACCAGGGGAGCGAGGGATAAGGTAAGTAAAACTCATTTTTACTGGTGTAGAACTTAACCCTTTCAGTGTGGCAGGAGCTGTGTAATGTATATAATTGAGCTGTTGTTCTCTCACTATCAAATTACGAAGTTGTATTAATTTTAAAGAAGTGGTAACCAGGGTTATCTGGCTTAAAAAATTGGATGAAAAGAATTACAAATTATTTTGGCAGTTAACATGGTTTATGCACATTGATTTCAACTTATGTGCTTTTGTGCAACTTATATGTATTTACCTGTTTGCCTATACTTACAGTTTAAATTTTGTTTCTTTTGATCTTGTATGCGAACATGTTTGAGTTGGTATATATCTTTTCTCATTGTCTAATTGAACAATAAAAGGGCTAAATTATTAAATGCTCTAAGTAGTCTTCTTTGGGTGTAGTATGAAATCTGTTTTAATTTTGTAGCTTTGGATATTAAGGATCTCCCCCATGCCCTTTGTTTGATAATCCCTTCCCTATTAGCCTTGAAAATGGAGAAATTGATTTTCAAGATTCACCTCCCATTGATTTTAATGGGTTAGCATTAAGTTCAAACCCTCCAGTACCGCAAATCAAACCCAAGCAAGTTCACCCATCAGTGAGTGTTTCCCAATGTGGCCTAAAGTCCATGGAGTGAGGAGCTGGAGTAATGGTACCTGGGTCTCGGACATTCCTAGAAACACTGCAGTAGCCCAGGATATTGAGGCTTAAATGAGTTCACTGATAGGGGGTGGTACAATCTGATACTGTAACTGTCACCTTTGTTATAGCCTTTTGAAAGAGATGATACAGAAACTATTGCAGAAAAGTCTTGATATCAGACTCTCTGAGAAATGCAAAAAGCCAGTAGGTAGCTATTAGATTACATGAATGAAGTAATACCTTAATCCTGTTGTAATAAATGTTTTCAGTTGCACTATAATTGCTTCTCATTTTACTGTAAGCAGAAGATTGCATACAGTAAAACAAAAGAAAAAAAAACAAAATAGGAGCGTCAGCTCCTAGGTCTATGATGAAGGATCGCCAAGTTTGATTTTGTATTCTTTGTTGTATTTTAATGTATGCCCAGGCTGGATCATGGGGGAGACAGAAGGTTAATGATGTCAAGAAAGAAGGCCTGATGGATCTGATGATTCATCCTTGAAGGCCCTAATTATAAATAATTGAAATAAAAATATTTTTTTTTAAGAGATGCCACATGTAGTATACCATCTCTTGATGTTATAATGTTGGAAATTTACAGCTCAATTCAATTTACAATGGTGTTATAGTAATGGAGATGTCACATTTCCAAGGGGCAGTTTCACATATACCTGGAGTGGTACCTTCATTAGCAAACACTTGTTCCTTAACATAAATTGACTGCCAGCAGATCATGTAGTTGCAGCTCAATACCTAGCATTCACACATTGTCAAAGCAAATGAGGAAGATTTGTAATCTAAGTGATTTTGACCATGATTATTGGTGTCATAGATGGTAGCTTCAGTATTCCAGAAATTGCTTAGTGATTGGAATTCTCACATGCCTCACTCTGTAGCATTTACTGCAAATGGTATGAAAAACTAAAACATGGTGCAGTTTTGTGGAAGACAATGCTTTGGTAATAAAAGAAGTCGTGGCCAAAGGAAAATGTCTAGACTTGTTCCAGCTGACAGGAAGTCCACAACTGCTCAAATCCCCTCATTTTACGACAGCTGTGTGAGAAGGATATCTCACCAGGCGACAGGAATTAGGAAAAACTGGGCACACGATCAACAAACTGAAAAACTGAAGTTTGAAAAATGTCTGGTCTAACAAATATGGATTTCTGTTGGGGTAGTAGGGTCAGAATGTGGTGTACACAGCATGAATACATGTATCCTTGCTGTTTTGTGTTAATGGCTAGTGGTGCTGTGAGTATGTATTGATGCTGAACACGTGTACCTCTTTTGTTGCATTTAAAAAAGTGGCCAGTGGCACTAAAAAAACTACAACTACATAAACCTTCACACATACATACATTTTAAACAGTCAGAGTCACAGAACTTTCACCCAGAATTCACACATTTTCCAATTCAATCCAATAAAAATGTTTCAAATTTTGGTGAAAGGTGTGTGATTATTGTGTATAAAATGTATAAAAAGACCTCAAAATGTTCTATGAAATCACATGAAATATGAAAATAGCAGTGCTTTTTTAAAATCAATTATAATATGCTTTGAATGGAAAAAGAATGAACTGTTAGAAATAATAAAGTATTTTGGCACTTTCAATGGAAAGGGATGTTGTGTTAACATCTTTGAAATATGTGAACAATAGAAAAATATGTTTTAAAAAATCTGTACTGTGTTTTGCTTTGTGATTTGTTGGAGATAGAAATAACTGTATTTAAAAACAGATGTTTAAACAACAGGCTGTAAAGACCAGATCAATCCAAGATACTGATTGCTTTTGTGGTGGTGAGTATGGTTGGGCTCGAACATCACTAGTTCATGTGTTCGTCGAACACACAAACTATAAGGATATTCGGCGGTCTGTTTGACCGCTAAATGCCCCACAAGGCAATGCGCCTTGTGAAGTCCTAATTGACCACAGGTCAGGTGCAAGACTTTGCCCTATCAGGGCTCAACACTCTGTAAGAGCCATGATTGGGCAAAGTCATGATGACTTTGCCCAATCGTGACTCACCTGTCAGATGACGTCAAACTACACAATTGGGCGGAGCTAGCTGTCACCGCTACCGTGTTTCCACGAAAGTAAGACCTACCCCGAAAATAAGACCTAGCACTATCTTCAGGGATTTCTGTAATATAAGACCTACCCCGAAAATAAGACCTAGTGTTGGAGGATCTGGTGGTAGATCTCATATTACAGACATCCCTGAAGATAGTGCTAGCCGCAGCTCCCTCCCTCCCGATTTTTTTGTGATATTTTTAAAAAATAAAAGGATTTTTTCAAAAGTCTGGACTTTTTATTTACAATTTTATTTAACCCTTTAGTGAATGGGTAGGGGTACCCCTTACTCATTCACAAGGGGGTGGCATCTGGGGGCCAACGCCCCAGAGCTTGTGGGGAAGAGGCCCTTGTCCCCAACAGCATGGGGACAAGGTGCTTTTCCAGGGATGACCCTGGAAAAGCACCCTCCCAGTGCCGAGGGCATGTGGCCTGGCATGTGGCCTGGCACTAGCTCATCCCCCCTTTTCAGCCCTGCCAGGCCTATGCTCGGATCAAGTGTCTGGTATGGAATTTTAGGGGGGGGGGCCACGTTCCCCCTTAAGGGGTGGGGTTCCTCCTTAAAATTCCTACTAAACCTTAAGGGCCTAGTATGACTTCAAGGGGGAACCCCACACACTTTTTTTTTTTTTACATGGGGTCCCTCCTAACATTCCTACCAGACCTAAAGGGTCTGGTATTGTTTTGGAGGGGGAACGGCAGGTTTTAAGAATAGAAAAAAAAACTTACTTTAGAAATGTTAGTTTCGCTGCAGCAGGTTCTATACAATGTACAGATGTGCCACTTTACAGGCAGGTTAAGGGGACTCCCCAGGCACAATATTTAAAGGGATTTTTAATTTTTATTGTTACCCTTTAAAGGAGAACTATGAGGTGAGTGGTTTTCACTCATCCTCTAACCGACCTGTGACAATGAAACTATCACAGGTCAGCTCAGTAGATTGGGAAGTGAGCGAACACATACCGGCGTTCGCTCACTTCTCGATCCTGTCCCGGCACAGAGCCGTGACGGGGGAGGGACTGGATTCTCCCCACTCCGATCCTCCAGCGCTGACTGGCGGAATGGATGGGGGACGTGGCGGGTACAGCTGGCTCTGCCTCTAGATAGGCAGAGCCAGCTGTCACTCACGAAGCTGGGCGGATCCAGACATAATTGTTTCCTGTCCACTAGTGCAACACCTGGACCCTCATGCCTTTTTATGGCCAAGAACTTGCATATAAGCCCTCTTAAAGGGGACAATCATTTTTGAACGTTCTACCCCCATTGACTTGCATTGAGTTCGAGTTCGTGTTAGAATTCAAACATTTTGGGTGTTCTAAAGTTCGAATTAAAATCGAACTCGGGCCTTTTTCAGCCCATCACTATTGGTAAGATGGATAGGATAATTAATTACCAGAACCACCCTAATGCAATGGTCTGCTGTCCTTCTTGTGTCAGGGCTCAGCAGATGTTGGGCAGAGTAGAAAACATACTTTGTGGGTCTGGCATAACCCAGCTAGTCCATCTTGGGACTAGTGACAGAATATTAAAAAGGTGAAGGGTGCCTCCACCTGACCTCCACATATGACCACTAATAAGAACTTCAAGATTGCATTCTTTCAAATAGTGACTTTGCCATAAGCCACAGAGGACTATGATGTCTTCACTAATAGACAGATGTTTCACCAGTACATAATGCATTAATGCTCACATGCCACATTCATTATTCTAACAAATATTCAGTATTTCAGTAATATCAGTAAGCTAGCATATTTCCTACATGCAACAATTCAATAATATTGTTTTGTAAAGTTCAAATATTTTTAAATGCATCTTTTTAGAGCAAAATGAATGAAATACTTTTGATGTAAATAAAAGGAAAACTTTTGCACACTATTATTAGCAAACCATCACCTTCTGCCTTAGAATGCATTTTAATATCTAGAATGTTTTGAACCCACCTTTTAATGTTTTAGACTAGAACTATAAGAAATAATATTATAACATCTTACCTTAGTTTGAATTTGGCGTGTGTAAAATTTTTAGAGGCAAACAAAAAATATGTCAGAATATCCCCTATTCTTATATTCCGGGATAAAGATCGTATAGTCAAATTACCATCAATCTGAACTTCAATTGAAGAATTGCTACTGAGGGCTTGATAGAGATAAACACTTCCAATTCTCTGCAATGGTGGACCAGTATCGTCCATGAAACTGTGTGATAACCGACTTTTCTTGGTGTCTTCCTTGACACACTCTCCCTTCTCATCACTTGGTTGAATAGCATAATACATTTCTACAGGGCTACCATCAGGCTGTTCCATCATTCTTTTATGGCCGGCAACAACTGTTGGTGGATCAAACCAGCTTTCAAGCAGTTCCAGTTCAACAACACACAACCCTAGATCACTTGTCAATTTGCAACTGCCTTTTACTTCTCTAGTTTCCCGAAAAGCAAACACCTTAACACATGGTAGCTTTTCTGTAGTGCTGTAGTCATCCCAGTCTCTCCCCACAATATAAAACAATATCTGAACTTTAGGTTTAGTCCGAAAAATTTTATTCTTCAGGATGTAAGCTTTGATCTTCCAATTAAATGTAAATTTGTCTGTAAATCCAAAATGGTTGGGGAAAAAAAGTAAATCTCGTGGCACTTCTTGTTCAACAAAAAATGGTCCATATGTGGCGTTCATGACAGGTTGTTTTTTGGCTTTATAAATGAGAAAAGACTCAATTCGTGACTGCAGGCTGGAATTTCTCATGATATCCTGGTTGGCTTCCTTTAGGAAGAAGAAAACATCACTCTGATGAATATTGTAAGTCACTGGTAGGTAGGTTGGAAGCAAGGAAAACCTCTGTACGCTGTCTAATACCCCACGGCTCTCCAGCACTGTTGGGAAATATAAATAATTCATGATAAAATACATTTGCAGAATACAAACATGGAAAACTATAAAAATTTGTTTCTAACTTTTTAAAAGCAAAAGACAAAATATGATACTGCCTGGAGAAAATGTGCATGTGAGATTGTTATCATTGTTATGAAAAGGAGATTTTAAGGGTGAGGTATTGTATGATAATATTATTTTTGGTTCAATGCAAAAACTTGCAGCAGTTATTAAATATAAGAAAATTTAACAGTGACTGAAACATTTAGAAGCTATGTTCTCATGTTGGTAAACAGAAAAGGAAAAGAAAAATGCATATCAAACAACAAACAATAGCACAAAAGTTTACTTTGGCATCACTCTATAATCAAATATTCATGCAGAAATAAAAAGTGCAGATCCATGTACTGTAGCTTCCTTTACAATACAGGGAATGGTCAACAAGAGCTAATTAACATAGGGGCAATGGTTTACACAAAAATATTCTGAGTCAACTGGCCTTTTTACATGTAATAGCATACACTTAAAATTAAACTGAACTAAAAAAGTAAAAATTTGCTTTATTAAAGGGAACATCTGGAAGTGCTAATTGTGCCTTAGCCGTACACTATACCTTTTGCATTGAATTCCTCCTGAAAAAATAGCAGTGCACTTCCTGGTATGTGAGGGTGCCTAGGCACTCCTGTGCCTACAGCCTCATAGCATTATACAGTATATGTAGTGTAAGATCTCAGGCAATGCTGCCTCTGTATCATGGGACAAAGATACAGTGCAGAGAAAGGTATGGAAAGTCAGGCAGTTAAGCAATACTGTGACTAGTCCTTTGCCCTCTACCTGCCTTTTTTAGCTACAGCTACTAGAGTTTAGTTCATCATTAAAAACTGTACCTTTCTGACAGCCTGAAACTGGATCATAAGACACATATTCCAACCATGTGCCACTATGCAACTTCCATCCACTTATCTGTAAAAAAAAAAAAAATAAGTCAAGACAACTGGACTTGCTGTATTTTTTCGTTTTTTTTTTTTCAAGAAAACTACAGCAAGTCCAGTTGCCTTGACTTATTTCTTACATATATACCATGACCTGGATGAATGAGAACCATCACAGTCTTTCATCCACTTAGTCCCATGCCCACCATCTTTTCCTACCCTTGGAAATCCATAAAAATGTATGACCCGAATTAAAAAGGGAAGAGGTGGTAAATCCAAGGTACATTTTATAAAACACACGAAAAAAGGGATTAGTGGAACAGGGGTACGTTGACAAGTGATATAACAATTGTATCTTTATAACTGCATTCCTCTCCTCCAAATCATGAAACTTTGTTATTGCGAAGTAATGCTATGCTGCAGCAAATAACCTGTGAACAGATTTGGTATTAAGAAGAATCTTACTTTAATTTATTCTTTTGATCAAAAAGTCTTAAGATGCAGCCTGGCCTGTGTCATTATGCTTAAAATGTGTCCCTAACATCTACAAAAAATGTATAAAAAGACTCACTGGTGCCTCATCTCAATTATGACATTGGTTCTGCAGCCTATAAATGTCATATTGATGGTGCAGTGCATTGCCCAAAAATATTGACTACAATATAAATAGAAAAGACTGAAATATTGGACCCTCTGCATTCCTGAACACAACATTAGAAAATTACAAAGCTTTAATTAAAAAAAAACACACAAATACACTGTAAACCATCACCATAAAGGTGATCTGTCTTTAAAACAGCATACACATTGGGATTCCCCACATCAGAAAATTATTCCTAACAGTCACTATTGCACAGTAAACATATAAAAGGATTAGTCCCCTACTCTAAGGAACATGAGAGGGTTCTTTTAAACAATGTCCATTCCCAACCTTATACAATTCAGCACATAGAACTATGAATCCTATGCTCCTTACAAATATTATTCTTTCCTTAATCTGATGAAACAGGAGACATATAGAACTTATTATGTCCCAAATACCCTAGTTTGCATTTCCTGTGCACACATAATAAATTGGATATTTCTCAATTTGGCAGACATAGATATGCCACCATAAGTATCTGTCTTGAACAAAGTCTGAGCCTTGGCTTCCGACATAGAACATTCTTCCTAAGGCAAATGGGATCACTAAACAAAAGCTCGGTGACATTCAAGGTTTTATATCAGCACTTCATGAACAAATGTTGGACGGGACTTTCTAGTCTTCTGTAATCATGACCATTATCATTTAAATTCAATGTGACGGACGTATTCCTTACTCCCCTTGACAAAATATTTTTATTAATTCTCCTGTAGTTTTTATGAACCCATTGGTTTTTAGCACAGACTTAATGACCTTAAATGATCTGGTTGTTTAAGAATGAAATGAAACAATAATAGAACCAATTCCCTCATGAAGTCCAGAAACAAAATATTTACAGGACAAAAGTAGCAATTATTATATTTACAATAAATGCAGCTACATCAAAAACATTCTACAGGTATATCATCCCTAAAATTACAGGAATAACACTTTCATTTTCAATTGGCAGCATGTTTTCATCTCCCTGCCCAGCAGTCTCTAGGCAGCCTAAAAGCATTCTAATCTCTAATATAAATACAAGGAAGAGGGTAGAGCAGAGTGCTAAGGCCAGACATAAACAACTATACTGCTTCTCATGTGAACTTTAAGGATGAATATTGTTCCACAGTCAGTGGTGGCTTTTTAAGCATATTTACTATTTATATTTTTTTATGAAAATATTTGAATGTCCATAGGCTGGCCAGGACACATATTGTTGTTCTCTTCTTATAGAATATTTCACTTGGAACCATTAGGATGTAAAGTATAAGTGCACTTTCAAACAAAGTGCACATACTTTTTGCCCACCGTGACCTACAGTACCCCATCCTCTCAACATGCATAGTTACCTCCAATCTGCAGCTTCACAATGCCTACCCAATATATTCCCATAGTCTAGTCTGCTAAAGATTTTTTATGAAGGATGCAAACTTAGTGGTATGCTTCTGCAGCAAGATGATTGTAAATGTGCATCTAAGAAGGGACGAACAATAAGGATAATTGCACTTTGACATGACTGCACATATCCTTTAACTTACTACTTTTACTATATAGCATAGTACTTGCAAATTTCTTATAACATGATTTATGCTATTGTAACCATATATGAAGATCTTTCTATTGACTTATTGGGTATTATTAGAAAAATAGTAAGTAACTTGGTGGATATTCTGTGTACCCATGTGTGTAACAGGTATGAATGTGTGGGATGGCCCGTTGTTATGCTGGGGCTGTTCTTGTATCTAATACATTGTAAAATAAAAAAACACACTTGTATTCTCAAGTGTTCTGTTCTCAAGTGTTCCTTTATTGCTTGAGAGTTTTGATTTAAAGTTCAAAAGAGCTTGGTGCAGGATAGAGTAGCAGCAGACCCCCCATAGATTATTTGCAAGAATAAATGGCAGGATAAATTGACATGGGAGCTACGACTGCTGCCTTTTTATCCAAGACTGCCATTTTATCCTTCTTTTGCTACTTGGTGGTCACTGACCTGGAAAAACATGTGGTTATGAGGTGTCAGGAAAACTGATATGTATTAATTTGCTCCAAGTGGGCTACTTAATTAGTAAGGAGCGAGGTAGAGAATAATAGCCCTGCAGCATCCACTTTCCAACAAACTTCATCATGGCAGATCCTATATTTCTATTATAACAGGTTCCTTTTAAGTGCCTTTTCATAAAAAAAAGGTTTATCGTTAGTTCACTCAAAATCTTCTTTTGAAGACCACATGCAACCTGGGGAAAAAACGTATTCCATTGCAGCTTTTAAAATAAAAAGGCAACTCTAGCTCCAATACTCACTTCCCCTTCAGAGCTGTCCCCAAGGGAATCGGATCCAGCCCCAGTTCTCTTTCAAGTTGAATGACACACAGCATCATTCAACCCATTTCCTGCGAGCCCACGTTGTCAGGGCCCCCCCCTCCCCACCATAGACTCACAGGAGAATGCTGCAGAGTGCATTGCCACATCATTACTCTCCGAGGCATCCAGGATATGCACACTGGCAGAATTAGAGAATGGTGGAAAGGACATTGTGATGTTACCAAACCAGTCTGAAGGCAGTTGAAAAATATATCTGTATACAGATTTATAAGGTAGGGTGTGGGGAGGGGCAAATGGGGGAAAAATCTCGAGTCTGGAGTTAGCTTTAACTTGTGTGTTTGACTTCCTGTTTTCAGATTGGCCAGAAAACGAAAAACTAAAATGAAATTCCAAAAGATGTGAATCCGAATAATGAAACAAAACAGCGTTCGGACCTGAAACCCAAAAGAATAAATGATTTGAAAAGAAATAAAACACATTTTTTGCCAGCTCGCATGTCTAGCAGCAAGTTGGTGCTTTGTGGGGGCTAGCATATCTGTATTTTTACAAAGGAAAACTACAGATCTTTTTGATATTGTTACTAAAAACTGCTAAAAGAAAATGTAACAATATAATTTACTGGTAGATTGGCAAAGGCAAAGTCAGTGGATCAGATAACAAAAGCAAATGAAGATCAGCATGGATTATAAGATATTAAATTGACTTTAATCCTTGTAATATGTCTCACTTATCTTAAGTGTCTAAGAATACAGGCCAGTAGCATCTATTCAGTGTTTCATTTTCATTCTCTGGTTCAGCCTTGAATCTCATGGACTGCAATCGGACAATAAAACCATACCTTACATTTAAACACTTTGACAACTGAGATCTAAAATGTATCTAGACATGTCATTACAGATAAACATACTGGGCAGGAATGGGACAAACAGTGATGCATACGTGAGAATGGAGGTACAAGAATAGGTTTAATATCAGCTAAAAGGTTTCCTTATCAAAAAACAATATATTGCAGTGTTTTGTGTGAACTGTGGTTGTTATTGAAGAGATGACAGAGGACCCAAGCTTCGCATTAAGGCCTGTGGACCTTTAGCTAAGTCACTGCTTAAAGATATTAATATGTCTTGGATTATGACAGGGTTTTCAGAATCTAACCACCAGGGATGACGTGCCATGTTAATCTTCTGTGTTTGGACAAGATCTTCCAAAGACTGACACAGCAAAGAAAAGGAGCTGTCACAGCTGCAGAGATGTGCGTCTCCTCAGGTCACTTTGCTTGGAATCTACAGCTAAGTCACAGAGAGGCCAAGAAATTAGACTTTATACAAAACATCAGCTCGGCACACAGCTGAAATGCGTAATTAGCTTTGCATATTTAGGAAAGATTGTTTATCTGATAATAACAGATGTGTTCATTCTATTTAAATTCATTACTCAAAATAGCTGCAGACTTATTCTGATGAATATTAAACATTCAAAGATTTGAAACAATTTCTCCAAAATGGCTTACCGAGTCTGCAGACCAAAATGGGAATAGCATTTGCTATATTAAATCTGTAATTTATGACTTCCAGAATTTACTTTGCAATGGTATTTATTTATGGTTTAAAAATATAAAATGAAATAGAAAGGCGCATTTAATCCATATTCAGCAATGTACTTTGGTAATGTATTATGAGAAAATGACATGGGAGTGAATTCAGGCAATAAAATGAAAGGAAGCACACTGTCTCTTGATTTACGGGATTGGCATAGATAAAATCCAGCCTAGTGAAGGTATGAAAACCACCCATGGCTATAAATGGGTTAAATGGCAAGTTAAATATGAGCTTCTCCCAGTGACATTATTAAAGAAAATATGTACTTCAGCACTTGGCAGTCTTTTGAGGCACCCCGAGTCCTAATACACTGGCTGGATATTCTGTGCCATGACATGGGCTAAAGGCCTTTTCAAACTTTACAGTGACAATCTACATAAATATCATTCTGCATATGAAGGACGCAAATTACATTATTTTCAGCCTGGCCATTTTTTTCTCCTATGACACAATTCTTGTTTAAATCAACTGAATGGACCACTTCAAAATGCATCACAAATGTTTAATAACCACATTTTAATACTAAGATATATATTTTCTAATGCATTTACATGGCGTGCCCCTCTGCAATTCATGCTATGCTATAAGACAGATGTGGTAGACTACTTTGCCTAGAGATTCATTACACTCACTTCTCATGTATCGGATGTGAATCTTCTGCTGGTTCCTTATATTTCTAAGAGACTTTGGCACTTGTGCACCAAAGTTTGTAAGTTCACCCATGTGCTTTAGCCATCATGAGAAATCTCACTACCACTATTAGAAGCCAGTAGCAGATTCAGTGTAGCGGTGTACTTCTGACTAGGGATGGTCCGCCGGTTCGAACATTAGTTCAAATCGAACATCGGCTGCTCAAAACTTTATGGGATGTTTGCGGTCTGTTCGATCGCGCAATGTCCCATACTGCAAAGAGCCCTCTGAAGCTCTAATTGGTTAAAGACTTGCACCTGACCACAGGTCAGGTGCAAGACGTTGCCCAATCAGGGCTCAGTACTCATTTGGAGCCATGATTGGGCAAAGTCATGATGACTCTGCCCAATCATGTCTCGCCTATCAGATGCCGGCAAACTACACAATTGGGCGGAGCTAGCTGTCACCGCTAGCCCCGCCCAATTGTTTATGTTTTGCCGCCATCTGTGAAAATGCCATTATGTGGTGGGAGTCGGCAGGGAGCGGACGGGACGGCGGTCGCCGGTTTTTATTTTTATTATTTCTATTTATTTTTTATTTCTTTGTCGTCGTGGACAACGCAGGACGCCGTGATTGACCCTGGATTACGTCAGTGGATCCATTTTTTCTTTTTTTTAATTAAAGACAAAATCATGTCTTAATTTTTTTTTCAATTAAAGGATTTTATCAAAAGTCTGAACTTTTTAAGAACTATTTTATTTAACCTTTTAGTGAATGGATAGGGTTACAAGTACCCCTTACTCATTCACAAAGGAGGGGGCGGCATCTGGGTGCCCCCTTAATTAAAGGGGTACCCCGATGCAAAAAGGCCCCTTGCTGGCAGACCCCCACAACCACCGGGTCAGGGTTGTGGGGACGAAGCCCTTGTCCCCATCAGCACGGGGACACCCTCCCAGTTTTTTCCCCCTATTTTTGAGGGTGTGGTTCCTTCTTAAAATTCCTACCAGACCTTAAGGGCCTGGTATGACTTAAAGGGGGAACCCCACACACTTTTTTTTAGTTTTTTTACATGGGTTCCCTCCTCACTATTCCTACCAGACCTTAAGGGCTTGGTATGACTTTGAGGGGGAACCCCACACACTTTTTTTTTTTACATGGGGTCCCTCCTCACTATTCCTACCAGACCTAAAGGGTCTGGTATGACTTTTAGGTGGAACCCTACACCCTACAAAAAAAATGGTCCCTCCTGACATTCCTACCAGATTTAAAGGGTCTGGTATTGTTTGGGAGGGTAAACCGCACACTTTACGAGTAAAAAAATATATATATTTTTTTAGAAATGTCAGTTTTGCTGCAGCAGGTTCTATACATTGTACAGATCCACCACTTCACAGGCAGGTTAAGGGGCCCCCCAGGCATGATATTTGAAGGAATTTTTCATTTTTATTCTTACCATTTAAGTGATGTGAAAATTACTGCTCCTTTAAAAACTGTATTTTTTTGTTTGTTTTTTTAATTGATTCCTGTCCCCCAGAGCAGTACCCGGACCCCCATACACCTTTTATGGACAATAACTTGCATATAAGCACTGAGGGACACTCATTTTCGAAAGTGCGACCCCCATTGACTTGCATTAGGTTCGAGTTCGTATTCAAACTTTTCGGCCGTTGGGGTGTTCGAATACGAACCGAACACTGGGGTGTTTGGCCCATCACTACTTCTGACAGTGGCCATGTTTACTAAGGGCAGGTTAATAGCTGAAATATAACTGTGGACTAACCTAAGAAAGACTCAGTTGTCACAAAAAACCATATCATATATAATTCCTATTCAGTCCATTTTTCAATTCAAATGGGTTTAAACATTTTGGTTCTGTTTTGACCTGCAGCCTGCTGTAATTGGCTTGCTTATTTCTACGGGCCCACACAGAGCTCAAGCTAAAATGTTAGCCATCCACAACAGTTTTTAGATTTGTTTAAACAAGTTTGAAGATATGCTGATATGCATTTTATTCTTGTTACTTCACTGGGATTATTCAAGTTATTATAGTACGATGACCCTCCCACTTGGAGGTTTTTCTAAAATATCAGCAATCACCTGTTTCAGTATTTAGGAAACATAAGGGAGGAGAAGTGAACAATCTAGGCCAGAATAGCTGATTTTGAAAGATTCTCCAATTCAGCTCACTTTCCAGTTCAGCTATGTTGTCCTAGATTGTTCACTTCTCCTGCCTTCTCCAAACTCTTCACCCTTTTGTGAATAACCCCCTAAATTTCATCTGAACCTGTCACATTTATCTCTCCAATGCTGTAACCTGTCAAAGCGACATACAACCCTATGGAGGCACACCATACATAGTAGGTTTATGACACTTCTAAAATACACTAAACCATTTGTTAGAGGCAGAATATATAGTGTGGTCTCGTATCTATCTTCCTGCCCTCTTCCTGTTTACAAATAATTTACAGTGTTCAAACAAATCTGCTTCCCCACCATTATAATTTTTTGCACAATTCCTTACTATACTGTACATCTGTTTTTGATGAGTGTATTTTCATAAATAAAGCACAGCTATATTTATTCTACCTCTAGAGTTTGTGTAAAATGCATAGACTGACTCTTTGCGTCACATATGTCTATCATAAATCCTTATATGCCAGACCAAACATGTATTCAGCATACTGATGTATATATAAAAGCCGGGGAAAAAATCAACAAATGTCCTTTAAAATCATTCACAGTCACAGAATTGCTCTGTGTCCTATTTGAGCACATTCTGCATATGATCCAAGTAATCCCTCATCACTTGTCAGAATAAACATCTTTTATGCAGTATTTTTTTCAGCTTGTCCCTTAGTACATATGACACTCTAGAGCCTACAGGCTTTTATGCTTCATTTTCAAAGTGATTGACTGGCAGCTGGCATCTGAAAGCTGTTACCTCTAAATCTTTAAACTACGTATTTTAGGTCATTTGGAAAACAAGTCAAAATCATCAGCACATTTAATAGTCCCTTTTAAAAATGCCTACAAATATTTTATGCTATACCTGTAAAATTTTCAACAAAATTATGTTTTTTTCAGGTCCGTACAGTTAAAAAAGTTCTATAAAATAAGATCAAAGGGTCCATTTAAAAAGCAGTGGTATAACCATCTGTACAAATATAATGAGGGGAATTTATCTGAACTGGAGCAGACAAAATCTGGATCAGCTGTGCATGGCAACCAATCAGCATCTCACTTTCATTTTCAAATCTTAACTGAACAAACTGAATACAGAAGCTGATAGTTTTGATAAATTCCCCTCAATGTGTTTAAAACTTTCCAAATATTATAAGAGAAAAATCAACTGCCAAATCATAAATACTTAAATGTATTATTATGATCATAAATTTAGGCCCACACACAGAGACTGCCCTTAAAGTGGACCTTTACACTCAAAAATCAAATTCTACCAATGCACCCTTCTATGTATGAGGAATAATAATAACATAGACATGTCAGGTGTAAAATGCTGTGATTTAGAAATGCTTACATTTCTAAATCACTTCCTGCTTTGAAAACGCAAATTATTTCAGTTTGCCAACGCAATGCACACTGGGATTGCCTTTTCATCAGCAGAGCATTGCTGGGAAATCTCATGTGTAATCTCAGGTGATCTCAGGGAAATGCATTTTCCTCCCCAGAGATGATGTGCATGGTCACATGTCCTAGTCATATGTATAGTCACATGTGCCAGAATCCAGGAAGTAAAAGGAGAGCAAGTAATCTGCCCTTAGCAAACACGGCCACTGTCGGAAGACTGGGGAAGAAAAGAGAAATAAGGTATGCAAACAATACAAAGCCGGCAATTATCTAGAAGTATGTGTTTGTAGATTGTCATTACTAAACATTTCTAAAGGTGTGTTTGTTGTTATTTTAAAGATATGGGTAAAGGTCTGCTTTAA